CACAACACAGTAATGAGCCCCTTATCGAATCATCTAGAAGTCTCGTCTCTGCACCAGCTTGCATCGGAGAGAGAGCTTAAGAAGCGTCTTCTTGCTGACCCCAATGACCTCAAAGACCCTCACATTCAAAGGATGCTCCAGCCTCAGCAGCAAGACAGTATCCGCTGGCAGCCCAGCTAGCCCAGAAGGTGAGGATTCCATTTCTCCGCATTCAGGCCTGGAACATCCTCTCTCTGGCTCTCCTTCCCCGGCAGCTCCCATCACTCCCCTCTGACCGGGCTGGGGCCGCCCCCGCCAGAACTGCTCTTCCTCCTCTCTCTCCCACCCCAGGGAGCTGGGAGCCCCCGGGCAGGCCTGGCAGTGACATCTGCTCTGCATCTGGAATTCTGTGTCAAGTCTGGTTGCTATACCTCAGGAACAGCAGAGGCTGAACAAGAGGAATGGGAAGAGGGGAAGGGGGGAGAAGGGTGGATTCCAGAGCCCAGACACACCAACTGAGGGGGGCCAAGCCCGAAGTTGATAACTTCTTATGTGAGGGGGCGGGGGGTGCGGAGAGTATGGGTGTACCAAATCCCAGGGCAGCTGGGCTGTTCCAAGAGGCAGGAGACTGGCTCCAGCCCCAGCTCAGTCCCTATTCATGAAACTTTGGGAAGTCACTCAGTTTTCTCGTCTGTAAGATGGGTTCGTGCTAAAATTATTTCTAAGTTCCCTTCAGTGCTGAGGCTCTAATTGCGAGATCACTTAACGTGAAAGAGGTACCTTGAGGAGGAAAAAGGGAAATGCTAATTAACACGTTATGTGTGATTAATTGGGCGAGGAAAGCACATACAGGATCCCTGAGGGTTTATATAACTTCCAAATATGACTCACTACTGAGCCCTGCCAAAAGGTTGTGCGTTTCATTCCTGGTCAGGGCACATACAGGAGTCAATCAATGGGGTCTCTCTCTCTCTCTCTCTCAAAAATCAGAGGATAAAAAAAAAAAAAAAGCAAGATTCACTATTACGAGAAAGCACGTTTCACCTAGCTTCTAAACTCCAAGATGGGCTCAGAGAAGGCCACCCCAACACCACAACTGACTGAGGCCGGCCTCTGAGCCTCCAGACTGAGAAAGGAACGGGAGGGGGCAGGTTCTGTGTGAGAAGAAAGCAGTTTTCACGGTCTTAGAGGCTTTCTATTACCGATGCCGGCTCTCTGACGAGGCGAGAGGGAGCGCCCCACTTCTTACATACGATGAAAACAGCACATTAAGCACTCCAGCACCAACCCCATGCCAACAAAACTCTCCCCAGTCCCCAGTCCCTGATTCAAGGGCCGCGTTAGAGAGGGGCGGGCACTCTCCGGACCCAGCCCTGCGTGCTGCTGAAGTGTTTATTATTTTTACTTCCCTCTCCCTCACCTCCTACAAACTCAATTTATTTTCAAGTCCTACTGATTCTTCTTCCTAAACATCTCTGGAATCCAGCTACTCTGGCCACCCCAACTGCCACTCTAGTGGCCACCATTGTCCTTGGATTCCTGGGACGGCCTCCCAAGAAGCTGGAGCTTCCTGCCCCGGCCCGGCCCAATCGATTCTCCACACTGGCTGGAGGGAGCTGAGGGGAAGCTGATCTGAAAACCCACCACGGGCTCCTGGGCCTCAGAAACCTTGGTGGGGCTTCCAGGCCCTTCCTCAGCTGCTTCCAGGCCCCGCCACCCCCCCTTCTCCCTGGACACTCCATGGCCCATCCCATCCTTCCCCAACCTGCTCCACTCTCGCCCCTGGTGCTCTACACTCCAGCCAGGTTTACCTTCATGCAATGGTCCACACTCCAAACGAAGTCACCTCTGGGCATTTGCACATGCTGTTCTCTCTGGGAAACCTCCTCCATCACCACTCTCCTTCTCTGGGGGCTGACTCAGGCCCTGAGCTCCATTGCTCATTGCTTCCTGAAGGAAACCTTTCCCCGAGGACCTGTCCGTCTCTCCCCACCAGACTGGCAGCTTTGCACCAGGGACCAAGCCTGCCACCTTATTTACTGTATTCTAGGCACTGGGCACATGCTAGCCTAATAATAATGATGATGATGATGATGCTCAGCAAATATTTGTTGAATGAATGAATGAATGAATGAATGAATGAGCAGCCTTGGTCCAGATCACTGTGGCTCTACAGAACTCTATAGGCGTGTCCCAAAGGTTTGTACAGCCAAGGTTTGGGGCCTGGAGGCTGGGAGAGTAGTTGCTTTAGCCCCACACACTGCTGTGGAGGGAGCCCCAGGTCTGTCCCTGCCTCTGGTCTTCCAGGCAAACGGAGCCCCTCGCCAGAGGCCCCGCTGGGATTCATAATGCTCCAGCGCCTTCCCAGCCCTGGTCCCGCTTTGTCGGCGCTTGTTGTCTGGAGCTCTTGGAAAAGCCAGAGACAGGGAGCACCAGCTTTCCTCATCTGGGCTCCAGGGGATGAGCTCTGCCCTCTTCACCTGACAACCCTGAGCTCCCCATTTCCCCGGAGGCCTCCAGCCCGGTGGGCAGCCAGCCTAGAAGGGGGGGTGTCTTTGTAGGGAGAGAAGAGGTCCCAGCAGACCCCGCAGTTTGGGTTTCCAGGAGATGGGCCTGGGGTTGACCAGGGTAAGGCTCCTACCCCCTCCGCCATCCCTGCTGCCTCCCACGTGGCCTGGCTGAGTCTCTCTGGAAAGCCGCAGCAGCTGGAGAGAAATCCCCCTCCCCACCCCCCATCCCGCTCCAAGTCCCTCCCCGACAGGCTTTGGACACATCCTCAGCTCCAAAGGGAAGGCAAGAACTGGGCGAACAAAGCGGCAGCCCCTTCCCTCCCCAGCCCTCCTATCTACCTACCTGCCTGCCTGCCTTCCCCATGGGCCGCCCCCAAACTCACACAGGGCAGAAAGCGAAAGGGCTGGGGGCTAGGCATGGCGACTGGGGACTCGGCCCTTTCTCCAGCGTGGACGCTCTGACTTGGTCCACCCTCACTGAGGCGGGAGGCGGGAGGCGGGGGGGGGGGCCGCGCGGACCTCGCCGCGCCCCTCTGACCTGCCCCTGGGCTGGGGCCGCAGTGACACGGAGTGTTGGGTGCGTCCACAAAAGCAACTGGTTTCCTGCCCTCTCCCTCGGCCCAGTCCGGCCGGGTTCGGGGGAGCAGCACTCAGCTCCGGGGCCACACCCTCCGGGCAAAGTTGAGTTTTACCACCGCTTCCCCCCTTACCCTCCTCCATCTCCATCAAAAACCTGCCCCGTCCCCACCGCCGCCCGCAAGGACACTCCCCGAGCCAAGGCCAAACATTAGCTCAGCTCACAAACACAGTTACACCCGGTCTGGACACCGACGGAGGCGCAGCACCCACCCACCCACAGCTCCCACCCTCAGCTCCCCACCCTCAGCTCCCACCCACAGCTCCCACCCTCAGCTCCCCACCCACAGCTCCCACCCTCAGCTCCCACCCACAGCTCCCACCCTCAGCTCCCCACCCTCAGCTCCCACCCTCAGCTCCCACCCACAGCTCCCACCCTCAGCTCCCACCCACAGCTCCCCACCCACAGCTCCCACCCTCAGCTCCCACCCACAGCTCCCACCCTCAGCTCCCACCCTCAGCTCCCACCCTCAGGTCCCACCCTCAGCTCCCACCCTCAGCTCCCACCCACAGCTCCCACCCTCAGCTCCCACCCACAGCTCCCACCCTCAGCTCCCCACCCTCAGCTCCCACCCTCAGCTCCCACCCACAGCTCCCACCCTCAGCTCCCACCCACAGCTCCCCACCCACAGCTCCCACCCTCAGCTCCCACCCACAGCTCCCCACCCTTAGCTCCCCACCCTCAGCTCCCCACCCTCAGCTCCCCACCCTCAGCTCCCACCCTCAGGTCCCACCCTCAGCTCCCACCCTCAGCTCCCACCCTCAGCTCCCCACCCTCAGCTCCCACCCTCAGCTCCCACCCTCAGCTCCCACAGCTCAGCCCCCGAGGCACGGAGGCAGGAGAAGCCCGCCCGCTGGTCACCCACCTCACCCCACCTCCCCGCAGCCCCGCAGCCCTGACACCGCACCCACAGCACCACGGACCCGACCACAGACCCTCCCCAGCCTGGCCAGCGCGCACACACACTCACACTCACACTCACACACACACACACTCACACTCACACACACACACACACTCACACACACACACACTCACACACACACTGAAACACACAGACACACACACAGACACACACACTCACACACACACACACACTGAAACACACAGACACACACACAGACACACACAATCACACACACACACTCACACACACACACACACTCACACACACACTCACACACACACTGAAACACACACACACACACAGACACACACACTCACACACACACTGAAACACACAGACACACACACTAACACATAACTCACAGATACACACACACTCACACACACTCACACACTGAAACACAGACACACACACACTCACATACACTCACACACTCACACAGAGACACACACACACACACACACACTCACACACACACACTCACACACACACTGAAACACACAGACACACACACAGACACACACACACACACACACACACTGAAACACAGACACACACACAGACACACACACTCACACACACACTCACACACACACTCACACACACACACACACACTCACACACACACTCACACACACACTCACACACACACACACTCACACACACACTGAAACACACAGACACACACACACAGACACACACACTCACACACACACACTGAAACACACAGACACACACACTAACACATACTCACAGATACACACACACTCACACACTGAAACACAGACACACACACACTCACACAGAGACACACACTCACACACACACACACACACTCACACACTCGCACACACAGCCGCGCACTCCCTCCCTCCGGACTCGGAAACCAAGGACACGCAGCCGCCGGGTCGCCGCCCGCAGCCCCCGCGCCGCCGCCCGGGCCCGCCGCCGCCGCCGCCCGGCTTACCGCGCGCGGCCAGCAGGCACAGGGTGAGCGCCAGCAGCCCGCCGCCCGCGTGCCCCCGCGCCATGGGGCCGCCGCTCGCCTGGGCCGCGCGGAGGGCGCCGGGCGTCAGCGGCCGCGGAGGCGCGGCGCCGCGGGCGGGGGCGCGGCCTCGGGGGCGCGGCCTCGGGGGCCCGGGCCCGAGCGGGGGCCGGCGCGGGGGCCGGGGCTGCGGCCGCCTCGCCCGCCCCTCCATCGCCATCTTGGGCGAGCGGCCGAGGGGCGGGGGTGGGTCTGCCGAGCGCGGCCGCCCGGCCCGGCGGAGCCCCGCGCCCCGGCCTGGGCTCTGCGCCCCGCGCCCGGCCTCTCCGGACCGCGCCGGGCCCCTGTGGGGCCGCTTGTTTCTCCTCTGTCTCCTCCTCTGCCCCCGGTCCCCGGCTCTCTCTGCCGTGGTGTCTCGGGTTCGTTAACCTGTCACCGCCTCGGGTCTCCCCCCCTCTCAGTTCCAGGCTAAATGGAGGCAGATGCACGGACCCGGTCTCTGTCCTGATGACCAACTTCCCTTCACAGCCCAGAGGGTCCCAGCTCAGGTCCTTCCTGAACCCTGGTTAGCCTCTCCACTCCTTGCCACAGATCCACTGAGGACAAGACAGGTCCCTCCTCACCCCAGTGCCATTGCCATTGCCATTCCTGCAGTAACCAGCCCAGGCAGGGCATGTCCTCAACCCCGAGCCCTGTCGCATGCAGGAGTCTCTGCAAACCGGAAAGGGACAAGGAAGGTTTGATTGCTTTCATCTTACACCTAGGGAAACTGAGGCTGGAGGAGGTGACGACTGGCCTAAGGACATGAGGTCAGGGAAGAGCAGATACAGGACCAGAACCCTGGTTTTCTGACCCCAGAAGGTCATTTCCCACTCGTTCTTCAGCTGTGCCTTCTCTTGTCCTACCAGACGGGCTGCCTCAGTATCCCACAAATATTTCCTGTTCTAAAGCCAGGGATTCCATCTTCAGGTGAGGCTGGGGAGAGGAGTGCAGATTAAATGACCTATTTAAGGTCCCTTCCAAACCAAGATGCTGTGGTTCTTGACTGTATCCCCTAGGTTCCCAGTGTTCCCATGTCTTAGAGCCATTTTGTCTTTGTACCCAGTAGGCGCCTTACCCCTCTGTTGCTAGGTAACCCTTAATAAGGACCTATACTTTGCCGATCTAATGGGATCTGGCATTTATTCGTTCATCGCCAGACCCATCAGCAACTTTTGACTTAGCCAACTATTCCCGCTTAGTGATGCTATCTGGCCATCAGGTCTTTAAGTGACACCTTTATACCGAAGGTGCCTAAATTTAGACCTCCAGGCTGGACCATGAGCCCTGAACCCCAGACTTACCCAGCTACCTGCTCAACATTTTCATTGGCTGTCTAACAGGCCTCTCAAATTGAACATGGCCAAAACTGCACTCGGATCTTCCTTATTAACCTCCCTCAGTATCCCCCATGCAGTTCCTATCAGCTCCGTTCTTCCAGTTGCTCAAGTCCAAAGCATTGGAGTGGTCGTTGACCCTTCGTTTTCATATCCTTCCCGCTCTGTCTTCCCACTACCACCTTGATCCAAGCAAGCACCTCTTAGCTGGATGGTGGCAGTAGCCTCCTCACAGGTCTCCTTGTTTCTGTCCTTCTCTCCCTTCAGTCTTCTCTCAAAACCGAATAAAAAGTGATTCGGGCCTTAGTCGGTGATGCTTGGTGGTTAGAGGATTGCTGGTTCAATTCCCGGTCAAGGTCATGTACCTGGGTTGCAGGTTCATTCCCTGCCCCCAGTCGGGTGCATGAGGGAGGCAACCAGTTGATATGTCTCACCTCTCTCTCTCTCCTCCTTCCTCCCCCCAATCCTCTCTCCCTTCCACTCTTTCTGAAAAGCAATGGAAAAAATATCCTCAGGTGAGGATTAACAACAAAAAAGTGATTCTGTGAAAATGTGAACGAGATTGTGTCATTTCTCTGCTCAACACATACCAGGACCTCCTTGCTCAGAGCAAAAGCCAAAGTCTGATCCGGAGGCCTGTTTTACCTCTCTGGTGTCACCTCCCACACCATCCCTGTGTTCACCGCCTCTGAGGCCACACCAGCCTCCTGGCTGTAACTTGATCATGACCAGCCCCCACCCTCCTGCCTCCAGACCTTTGCCCAGCTGGCACAAGTCCGAAATCCTGGCCCCCGCATCCCGTCCTCACCACTTCCCCCACTCTCCGACTCTCGCTTCTCTCTAACATGCTCTACATGTTACTTACAGTTTGTCCCCTGCAACCAGAATGTGGGCTCCAGGAGGACTGGGGTTTTATTTATTTATTTATTTATTTATTTATTTATTTATTTATTTAAATATATCTTACTGACTTTTTACAGAGAGGAAGGGAGAGGGATAGAGAGTCAGAAACATCGATGAGAGAAACATCGACCAGCTCCCTCCTGCACAACCCCCACCAGGGATGTTCATGCCCCTGACCAGAATTGAACCTGGGACCCCTCAGTCCGCAGACCAACGCTCTATCCACTGAGCCAAACCGGTTTCAGCTAGGACTGGGGTTTTAGTCTGTTGGGTTCACTGCGGAATTCTACACAGCCAGACCAGTATCTGGGGCTGTGTAGGCGCCAGTGGCCAGGATAAAAGACACAAGTCACTACCCACAGGGACAATAGTACCCAAAGTGGCATGGAGTAGCGGGGAGGATGGGAGCAAGAGAAGCAGGGTGTGGTGGGGGTGTTGAGGAAGAAGTCTTCACAGGACTGTTGATGGTTGTAGATGTTGGACCAGGGTGTTGAGTTTAAGGAGGGTAGATCCAAAGGGGTGAAGGACAGACACACCCTCTGCAGAGGCCCTGGGGTGTGAGAGCAGAAATGGCAGAGCCAATGATTAACCCACGGACAGTCATCGGCCACCTGGGATGGGCCCGGCCTGCTCTGGGCACTGGGAACACAGTGGCGAACTCGGTTCTTGCCTGCACGACCCCGGATCTAGTGAGGGAAACAGACAAGAGGAAAGGCAGCTGTAATAGTGTGTGGTTCAGGCTGTGATGGGCCAGGGAAGGAGAGGCGCCCTGGCCAGACTTGGGGGGAGGCAGGGAGAGCTTCTGGAGAAAACAAATACCTGAACCCAGTGTAAACAAAATGGAAGGAGTGTGACCTGGGCAGGAAGGAGGGCAAGGGTGGGAGAGGAAGCCAAGCAGGGGAGCTGGGGCCAGACGGGGAAGGCCTTATATGTTGCCTAGAACAGCGGTTGCGGCCGGTGGTCCGTGAGGTCTGAAAGGTTGGCGACCGCTGGCCTAGAAAGCAGTTGACGATTTCACTCTCGAATGAATGAAAGAACAGACAAGGTGTCACCACGTAGTATTACTAATGCCATAAGCCACACACAAAAATCCAGTCATTTCTGTCTTCCTCTCTCAGCACACCGGTGTGAAGAGCGTTGACGTCAGACAAGCCAAATCCAGGGTGAGGAAGAAGAGCCGTGGGTCCTGCCCTGGCTCTGCTACCTCTTTGCTCTGTGACATTGGGCAACTTCTTCTTTTTTTTTTTTTTTTAATATATTTTATTGATTTTATACAGAGAGGAAGGGAGAGAGATAGTTAGAAACATCGATGAGAGAGAAACATCGATCAGCTGCCTCTTGCACACCCCCTACTGGGGATATGCCCGCAACCAAGGTACATGCCCTTGACCGGAATCGAACCCCGGTCCCTTCAGTCCCCAAGCCGACGCTCTATCCATTGAGCCAAACCGGTTTCGGCTGGGCAACTTCTTTCCTCTTCCTGGGCCTCAGCATAATCAGAGAGAAAAACAAGAGGGCCAGGGTAGGATGCACATTTCTCACCAGGAGTTCCAAAGACTTCACGCAATGAAGAGTGGGTATGGCACTTGTTTTCCTTCCTTCCTTCCTTCCTTCCTTCCTTTCTTTCTTTCTTTCTTTCTTTCTTTCTTTCTTTCTTTCTTTCTTTCTTTCTTTCTTCTTTCTCTTTCTTTCTTTCTTTCTTTTATTTGTTTGTTTGTTTGTTTTTATTGATTATGGCCTCACATAATTGTCCTTATTCCCCCATTCCCATCCCAAACCCCTCCCTAGATATGCCCCTCCCCATTGTCCATGGCCACTGGCTAGGCCCATATGCATGCACACAAGTCCTTTGGTTGATCTCTTCCCCTTACCCCCATCCTCCCTTACTTTCCCTCTGAGGTTTGAGAGACTGATCGCTGGTTCTCTTTCTCTGGGTCTGTTTGTGTTGTTCAGTATTTCCTCTAGACGTGTGAGATCATGTGATCCAAGAAATACCCTTGTAAGAACTTAAACTGCAACAAGCCATAATGGTTTTGCTGAGAGGCAAATGAATCAGTCTGTAGTGAGTTCCTTTCTGGGCCAACAGTTCTTTTCAGTCCCAATTTCAATGCCAGATAGTTCCTTATGTATATATGCCAGCCATGATATTTCAGATCTGGTTGGTGGACAAATGGCAATAATGCAGGTTTGCCTGTCTCTGGTTTGGTCCTGGGCATCCTTTAGCAACCCACAGCTGCTGTCTGCTGGTATGCTGAGGCGTCGTCAGCATCTTCCATCTCTGAATTGTGTCTCTTCTGTCTTCATGGCTGGAGCGCTTCTGTCTATTCCTCTCTGTTACAGAATTCCAGATGGTCTCAGAGTTGTTTTCTGAAAATATACAAACATATTCTCGACCAAAAGTTAATAAAGGGATATTTTCTTTAAATTTTATTTGGGATTCTTTTCCATTCTCCTCCCCCCCCCCCAAATGATTTTCCCCTGGCTTGTTTTGTCACCATGTGTGTATTTTCATGGTTATCTTGCTATTAGTGTTTCGAATGAAGGTTAATTTTCTAAAGCACAAATTTTTTAGATGTAAATTATTCTCAGGATATATTTTCTTACATGATATTCTTCCACTGTCACCCCCTTTTTTACTTTAAATAATAGGAAACTTTTGGAAATTTTATACTGTAGTCTTGATAGTTTTTACATTTTAAGTTATTTGCGCTACACTATGACTACTTTAGATCCATAACATGTTGTGCAATTTTACCGTGGGACGCTC